CATTGCTGTAATATAAATGGGGGATTGGCTACATTCTGCAAATGAGTAAGACTTAATACATTTGGCTACCGTCTTCTATATTAATAATTTCTTTGTCATTCAATCCAGTGTAAAACTTTCACTGTCGTCAATCATAATCTCATATGTCAGCCCAGTTCAGGTGGTAGAACTCTGGCCTCAGACTCAGAAGGTTGTGGATTTAAGCCCTGCGACAGACTTTGAACTCATATAGTATATACTGTACACGAGAGATTGCTGCGTGCAAATTGGCTGTCGATTTGCCTACAGGTACACATTACAGTATATCCTGTGAAGCGCTTTGAGACATCCCAATGCTCCAAATGTGAAAGGTGCCGTAACAAATATTATTATTATTATTATCTTGAAAGTAGTTAAAGGGAATTAACTGCTAACTTTAGACCATCAGTGTCCCTAAAAAACTTGTAGATCATACAGACTTCACAAATATACTTACAAAATGTTCATAATCAACTTTTGCACTGCTTAAATGCATTTGGTGGTCATTTGTTTCACTTGAACAATCACTGTAAAGAACGCAAAAGAGATTTTTGCAGTTAACGCCTTGGTGTTTTGTCATCAGTAAGAATGGGGTTGCTGTATTGTACAATATTCCCCTTTTGTAGAAAGATGCACTATGCTTTACAGCACCAATTACAGTAGTGGCTTTATTAACCAAACTTAATAAAATAAGCAGAAAAATAAACTTTAAAAAAAGTTTTAAAAATAATCAAACTCAAAGAGAATGAAATAATGTATCTAATGCAAAATATTAAAACCTTGTAAAATAAAGCATTGCAGAACTATTTGAGAATAATAACAGGAGGCATTATTGAGGCTGAGGATCAAGGTTGACACTTAGGAATGCATGAGTGAAAATATAAATTCTCAGGGACACAAAGTAGATGTAATTAAAGCAAATAAAGAGTTTGAAACCCATAACCCTTTGAAGATGAGCAAATATGCCATTCGCACAAATTAAAATCAAAGAATTGGCAGGGAATTGGATAACTGGATATGACTAAGATGTACTTTGAAACATTGTTGCAGTAAATGGATTGATGCTTCTAGGATAAGTTGTATTTCCAGTAACTAAATGAAAATAGCAGTAAATCAGGCCTCGGTTAGAATTATTGCTTGTTGGTATTCCTCTGTGGGACATAAAGTATTGGCAGTTCCATCCTGAATTCAGTGTTCAACGATGCACAGCAAGTATTACACAGTAATGGAGTTAATGAACTGGAGTTCCTGGAGAAGATTATGCAAATGATATAATTTCCTTTGGAGCTACAGGTGAAGCACACAGGGGTAAAACAATTTGCATTCATTTTATTTCACTTAGAGCAGAATTGAAATGTACAGTCCTGACTCAGTCCTAAATGTACAATATGCAGCAGAAAATCCGATAGCCAAGCTAATAGAGATCCCTTATGGATTGTGACTATGAAAACAATGAAGTTATCACTCAAAATCAAATGTGCAGCATTGTAATTATCTTGAATTCGACCCAAAACATTGTAAAACATGTAGTACTCTATATTGAAGTAAACGTACATACAATACAGAAAAATTAAAGTGTACTTCACAATAAATAAGTGTAAAAGATTGATTGAAATCACATTCCACTCGATCACAACATTTACGTGTAAAACAATAATTTGCTTTTGGATACTCTTAAGCAAGGTGATGAGTTCATGGATGTATCAGCTTGCCAGCCGATCATATGTGCATGGGCAATAAAGGATATTTGGTGCAAAATAGAAGACATTACAGGAAAATACTGTACTCCAGGGTGCTTAGGTAGAAACGTAAGCGAAAACTGTCTGTTTTATCTTCTGAAAATGTTTTCCAAGTGAAGTCTAACACTTAACTGTGATTGAGCAGGCATGCCTTATCTGACGTGTGGATAGTGGGTTCTCTCCTGTATTTATTTTTCTTCTATGTTCAGTTCAATTGAATGTGTAATTAACTAACAGAAGCTTGAACATCTGCTGGCTTTCCCCATCTATGTACGTGAAGCTGATTATTTTGGTCAGCCAGGCGTATGACATATGCTGCAACCCATCACCACACCTCCATGTATTACAGCACCTTGAGATGTCTTCCCAACGTGAAAGGTGCTATACAAATGTAATTTTGTTATTATTTAAATAATAGTCCTTGCTTTTTGATAGAGCCTCATCACGTCGTTGAGACCTCTCTCTCTGACACACTCCCTCTCTCTCTCTCTGACACACTCCCTCTCCCTCTCTCTCTGACACACTCCCTCTCTCTCCCTCTCTCTGACACACTCCCTCTCTCTCTCTCTCTGACACACTCCCTCTCTCTCTCCCTCTCTCTCTGACACACTCCCTCTCTCTCTCTGACACACTCCCTCTCTCTCTCCCTCTGACACACTCCCTCTCTCTCTGACACACTCCCTCTCTCTCTCTCTCTGACACACTCCCTCTCTCTCTCTCTGACACACTCCCTCTCTCTCTCTCTCTGACACACTCCCTCTCTCCCTCTCCCTCTGACACACTCCCTCTCTCCCTCTCTCTCTGACACACTCCCTCTCTCTCCCTCTCTCTGACACACTCCCTCTCTCTCCCTCTCTCTGACACACTCCCTCTCTCTCTCCCTCTCTCTCTGACACACTCAACAACAACAACAAGATTCCATTTATAAAGCGCCTTTCACGTCGGGAGGATGTCCCAAGGCGCTGCACAGTTGGGTCAGGACCCAAGGAGGGGGGAAATGGTCAGGGTGAGGGGAGGGAAGGGAGGGAGCGAGGAGGGGGTAGAGAGTCGAGAGGGGAGCTGAAGGCTCGGTCAAAGAGAAAGGTCTTGAGACCGGCCTTGAAGGAGGAAAGGGAGGAAGCGGCGAAGGCACTGGGGGGTAGAGTTCCAGAGCCTGGGGGCTGAGAGGCTGAAGGCCCGGCCACCGATGGTAGGGCGGTTGGGGCGGGGGACGTGGAGCAGACCGGAGCCAGAGGAACGGAGGGTACGGGCAGGTAAGTAGGAGGATAGTAGGTTGGAGAGGTAGGAGGGAGCGAGGCCGTGAATGGCCTTGTAGGTGAGGGTGAGGATCTTGAAATCAATCCTCTGGGGGATGGGGAGCCAGTGGAGGCGAGCGAGGGTGGGAGTGATGTGGTCGCGGTGCCTGGTGCGGGACAGTACACGAGCTGCAGAGTTCTGAATGACCTGCAGTGTGGAGGGAGGTGCCGGGAAGGCCGACGAGGAGAGAGTTCCCATAGTCCAGCCTTGAGGTGACAAAGGCGTGGACCAGAGTTTCAGCGGCGTGAGGGGTGAGGTAATGCCGGGAGCACTCCCTCTCTCTCTGACACACTCCCTCTCTCTCTCTCTCTGACACACTCCCTCTCTCTCTCTCTGACACACTCCCTCTCTCTCTCTCTCTGACACACTCCCTCTCTCCCTCTCTCTGACACACTCCCTCTCTCTCTCTCTCTGACACACTCCCTCTCTCTCTCTCTCTCTCTGACACACTCCCTCTCTCCCTCTCTCTCTGACACACTCCCTCTCTCTCTCTCTCTGACACACTCCCTCTCTCTCTCTCTGACACACTCCCTCTCTCTCTCTCTCTCTCTGACACACTCCCTCTCTCCCTCTCTCTCTGACACACTCCCTCTCTCCCTCTCTCTCTGACACACTCCCTCTCTCTCCCTCTCTCTGACACACTCCATCTCTCTCTCTGACACACTCCCTCTCTCTCTCTGACACACTCCCTCTCTCTCTCTCTGACACACTCCCTCTCCCTCTCTCTCTGACACACTCCCTCTCTCTCTCCCTCTCTCTGACACACTCCCTCTCTCTGACACTCTCTCTCTCTCTCTCTCTGACACACTCTCTCTCTCTGACACACTCCCTCTCTCTCTCTCTCTGACACTCTCTCCCTCTCTCTCTCTGACACACTCTCTCTCTGACACACTCCCTCTCTCTCTGACACTCTCTCCCTCTCTCTGACACTCCCTCTCTCTGACACACTCCCTCTCTCTCTCTCTGACACACTCCCTCTCTCTCTCTCTCTGACACACTCCCTCTCTCTCTCCTCTCTCTCTGACACACTCCCTCTCTCTCTGACACACTCCCTCTCTCTCTCTCTCTCTCTGACACACTCCCTCTCTCTCTCTCTCTCTGACACACTCTCTCCTCTCTCCTCTCTCTCTCTCTGACACACTCCCTCTCTCTCTCCCTCTCTCTCTCTGACACACTCTCTCTCTCTCTCTCTGACACACTCTCTCTCTGACACACTCTCTCCCTCTCTCTCTCTGACACACTCTCTCTCTGACACACTCCCTCTCTCTGACACCCTCTCTCTCTGACACACTCTCTCTGACACACTCCCTCTCTCTCACACTCTCTCTCTCTGACACTCTCTCTGCTACTCTCTCTCTCTCACTGACACACTCTCTCTCTCTCTCTGACACACTCCCTCTCTCTCTCCCTCTCTCTCTGACACTCTCTCTCTCTCTGACACACTCTCTCTCTCTCTCTCTCTCTCCGACACACAGTGACACACTCTCTCTCTCTCTCTCTCTCTGACACACTCTCTCTCTCTCTCTCTCTCCGACACACAGTGACACACTCTCTCTCTCTCTCTCTCTCTCCGACACACAGTGACACACTCTCTCTCTCTCTCTCTCTCTCTCTCTCCGACACACAGTGACACACTCTCTCTCTCTCTCTCTCTCTCCGACACACAGTGACACACTCTCTCTCTCTCTCTCTCTCTCTGACACACTCCCTCTCTCTCTCTCTCTCTGACACACTCCCTCTCTCTCTCCCTCTCTCTGACACACTCCCTCTCTCTCTCTCTGACACACTCCCTCTCTCTCTCCCTCTCTCTCTGACACACTCCCTCTCTCTCTCTCTCTGACACACTCCCTCTCTCTCTCCCTCTCTCTCTGACACACTCCCTCTCTCTGACACACTCCCTCTCTCTCTCTCTCTGACACACTCCCTCTCTCTGACACTCCCTCTCTCTGACCCGGAAGTTGATCAGTCGGTGTCGGGGTCACTCATTCAGTCGGTGGCGGTGACGAGACTGAGGACCAGAATCAGCCGCGAGGCCCCGACACCGCCTCCGCCTCCGCCCCGGAGCCCGGACAGAGGCCCCGCGCTGGTGAGTCCCCACCCGGAGCCCTCACTGCCAGCCCTGCCCCTCACTGCCAGCCCTGCCCCTCACTGCCCCTCACTGCCAGCCCTGCCCCTCACTGCCAGCCCTGCCCCTCACTGCCAGCCCTGCCCCTCACTGCCAGCCCTGCCCCTCACTGCCAGCCCTGCCCCTCACTGCCCCTCACTGCCAGCCCTGCCCCTCACTGCCAGCCCTGCCCCTCACTGCCAGCCACTGCCAGCCCTGCCCCTCACTGCCAGCCCTGCCCCTCACTGCCAGCCCTGCCCTCACTGCCAGCCCTGCCCTCACTGCCAGCCCTGCCCCTCCCTGCCCCTCACTGCCAGCCCTGCCCCTCACTGCCAGCCCTGCCCCTCACTGCCAGCCCTGCCCCTCACTGCCAGCCCTGCCCCTCACTGCCAGCCCTGCCCCTCACTGCCAGCCCTGCCCCTCACTGCCAGCCCTGCCCCTCACTGCCAGCCCTGCCCCTCACTGCCAGCCCACTGCCAGCCCTGCCCCTCACTGCCAGCCCTGCCCCTCACTGCCAGCCCTGCCCCTCACTGCCAGCCCTGCCCCTCACTGCCCCTCACTGCCAGCCCTGCCCCTCACTGCCAGCCCTGCCCCTCACTGCCAGCCCTGCCCCTCACTGCCAGCCCTGCCCCTCACTGCCAGCCCTGCCCCTCACTGCCAGCCCTGCCCCTCACTGCCAGCCCTGCCCCTCACTGCCCCTCACTGCCAGCCCTGCCCCTCACTGCCAGCCCTGCCCCTCACTGCCAGCCCTGTCCCTCACTGCCCTTACTGCCCCTCACTGCCAGCCCTGCCCCTCACTGCCAGCCCTGCCCCTCACTGCCAGCCCTGTCCCTCACTGCCCCTCACTGCCAACCCTGCCCCTCACTGCCAGCCCTGCCCCTCACTGCCAGCCCTGCCCCTCACTGCCAGCCACTGCCCTCACTGCCAGCCACTGCCCTCACTGCCAGCCACTGCCCTCACTGCCAGCCACTGCCAGCCACTGCCCCTCACTGCCAGCCACTGCCCTCACTGCCTCTCACTGCCAGCCACTCACTGCTAGCCCCTTGCTGCCTGCCTCTCACTGCCAGACTCCCAACACAGACCCTCGTTTCCAGCCCCTCACTGCCAGCCTCTAACACAGCCACTAACTGCCCCTCACTGCCAGCAGCTCACTGCGAGCCTCTAACACAGCCCCTCACTGCCTGCCGCTCACTGCCAGCCCTTCACTGCCAGATTCTCACTGCCAGCCTCTCACTGCCAGCCTCTCACTGCCCCTCACTGCCACTGCCAGCCTCTTGCTGCCAGCCCCTCATTGCCAGCCCCTCACTGTCAGTCTCTCACTGCCAGCTTCTAACACAGCCACTCACTCCCCTCACTGCCAGATTCTCACTGGCAGCCTCTCACTGCCCCTCACTGCCAGCCCCTCACTGCCAGCCCCTCACTGCCAGCCTCTCACTGCCAGATTCTCACTGCCAGCTCCTCACTGCCAGCCCCTCACTGCCAGTCCCTCACTGCCAGCTCCTCACTGCCAGCCCCTCACTGCCAGTCCCTCACTGCCAGCCCCTCACTGCGAGCCTCTAACACAGCCCTTCACTGCAACCCCTCACTGCCAGCCCCCCACTGCCAGCCTCTAACACAGCCCCTCACTGCGAACCTCTAACACAGCCCCTCACTGCCAGCCTCTGACCCAGCCCCACTGTCAGCCCCTCACTGCTAGCCTCTCATTGCCAGACTCTACCACAGCACCTCGCTGCCTGCCTCTCACTGCCAGTCTCTAACACAGTCTCTCACTGCCAGCCCCCCACTGCCAGCCCCCCACTGCCAGCCCCCCACTGCCAGCCCCCACTGCCAGCCCCTCACTGCGAGCCTCTAACACAGCCCCTCACTGCCAGCCCCTCACTGCCAGCCCCTCATTGCCAGCCCCTCATTGCCAGCCTCTCACTGCCAGCCCCTCATTGCCAGCCCCTCATTGCCAGCCTCTCACTGCCAGCCCCTCATTGCCAGCCCCTCACTGCGAGCCTCTAACACAGCCCCTCACTGCCAGCCCCCCACTGCCAGCCCCTCATTGCCAGCCCCTCATTGCCAGCCTCTCACTGCCAGCCCCTCATTGCCAGCCCCTCACTGCCAGCCCCTCACTGCCAGCCCCTCATTGCCAGCCCCTCACTGCGAGCCTCTAACACAGACCATCACTGGATAGGTACTTAGAACAGATTGCACCGCTATGTGGTAAAAGCGGGGGAATGGGACTGGTTGATAGCTCTTTCAAAGAACCGGCACAGGCACAATGGGCTGAATGGCCTCCTGTGCTGTAAGATTCTATGATAATAAATGATAATAATTTTGCCCCCAAATACAGTCAATTCACTTTACAGTATATTCTGTGAAGCACTTTCAGACGTCTCTACAAATGTAAAATGTAAGTGGTGGTGTTGTATCACCGATGTGATAAGGTGCTATATCAAATACAAAGCTTATTATAATATTAACAATAATAACAATTCCTGTGCAGAATATTGCAGGTGCTGGAAAGGGACGAAGGGTCGTGGACTCTGAAATGTTGATTCACTTTCTCCATAGATGCTGCCTAACCTGAGAGTTCCCAGCGACTTCTGTTTTTGATAATAATCTTTATACGGTAAAGTGAATTGACTGTATATTTGTGGGCGAAATGCAGCAGCCAATTGCACGCAGCAGTGTCCCACAAACAGTCATGGATTGAAAATGACCAATTTATTATTGTTTTGTTTTGGAGGGATTATTAGGTGTGTGGAGTAAGGAAACTTGCCCAAGGTTTCGCCCTGTGCCTGGAACTGAACCCAGGTGTCTCGCTTGCAAGAAAGGACAGTTGAGGGTCATTACCCGACTCTGTCACTGCCTCACCCCTCAGGCCGCTGAGACCCTCATGCATGCATTTGTTACATCTAGGCTCAACTACGCCAACTCCCGTTTTGGCTTTTCTAACTCTTCCCTCCACAAGCTCCAGATCATTCAGAACTCTACAGTTTGTGACCTCTCCCACATTAGGCTCTGTGACCCTATCACCCTCATCCTCACCCGACTCCACTGACTCCCCATCCCCCAGAGGATAGTTCATAATCCTCATCCTCGCCTTCAAAACCCTTCATGGTCTTGTTCCTTCCAACCTCTGTGATCTGTCCACTGCCTGTGGCCTGCTCCATGTCTCCCCCCGGCCCGTCCCAATTCGGTGGTCGGGCCTTCAGCCACTCTGCCCCCACCCTCTAGAACTGTATCCCACAGTCCCTTCTCCTCGTTTCCTCCCTTGCCTACTTCAAGGCACTTTTCAAGATCCTCCTCTTCAATTGGGCCTTCGGTCACCCTCCTACCCCTACCCTCACTGCCCTCCACCCCTCCTGATCCCAATCCCCTGCTCAGGTCCAGCGCCTTGGGACGTCCACCTGATGTGAAAGGCGCTATACAAATGTAATTTGTTGTTGTATCGAGGATTTGTTAATTCTGACACCTGTATTTCTCTATTATTTCCAATCTTCTTTACCTTTCATTTTCTTAACTTCATACATTTCAATTTTTTTAAGCTCCCATCTCCAATCAAAGTCAACTCTCAATAACAGATTCAGTTTATTTTCATCACTGCCTTCTCAAACAAGTCTTGTCTATATTCTGCAATTTCCTCAATATTTCTATTTCACTTCAATTCTGATTCTCTCCACTGTTGTCTTTCGCCATCTCCTCAGCCTGCATTTACTCTCTGAAGCCACATCAAGGCAGTTTCTGCTTGCTGTCATTTGCTGCATGCATTCACTGCTTTTATCCTGTTTCCACCCTTGAATTCTCTTTTTGATTTCATTATGTCGGGAAAACATCTGCATTCTGATGTTCAGAAGGTTGTCTCATGTTGTGACACTGATGCAGAATTAAATATCAGCATTCCGGTAACTGATGAGTCTGTACTGTTGACAACTCCTGACACAATTCTGTATCCATGTACTTTTTCTCTAAATACACATTTGGCAAAAAAAGTTGAAAGTATGTAATACCATACTTTAAAATGTATTGAAAGGGGAATACCGCTATTTGATTTTTAAGATTAAGATGTATTTGTAAAAGTCAGGAAAGTGTCACAATATTCGTTTCCAAAATTTTCCACAATGGGCAAAATACAAAATACAAAAGTTCAAATTCTAAAATAATTTGCGGTTTAATAAATAGCTTGCCCTGTAGAGTGTACTAGTATTATACTATATTGTTAAACCCACATTATGTTGGTGCAGTATTTTCTGGTGTGCTTGGGGACTCTGTGATGATAATAATAATAATCCTTGCATTTGATATAGCGCCCTATCCTGTCTTTGAGACGTATCAAAGCGCTTCACAGAATATACTGTAAAGTGAATCAGGCAGCTAAGTGATATTCAGATGTGCAGCGTTCCCCTAATTCCTAAAGATTGAACAAAGGAGAGAGTACACACTCCATACCACACAAAGAGAAATTTCCAACTCTTGGTTTGGATAACCTTAAGCATGATGATGGGTTTTGCATTGGATCACACATTGATCCAAAGGTCCCATCTGAAATTCCCCACGCTTAAAGATTATTCCGCTACAAAGTAGTGTCCATGGTAAATACAGTATTTATTTGGACATCATCTCTATGATTTTTGATGTATAAAACAATTCTATTTATTCATTTCTTGTACAACACCCATTTTCTTCAGAAAACAGTACACACAATCTGCCAGCCCTTGACACCATAACATTGGTGTCAGTGGAGCCAGTCGGCTTCTCCATCCCAATTTCCTACGTTTTCACTCCTAGTAATGTTTTGCCATTAATGGTACGTTAAGTTCCTCCTGCCATTTTATTTGAGTTGTTGATGCAGCGGATCCCTCCTAAGTGCCTTTCTGCATCACCTTATTTTTGTTGATAGACCTGGGGAAGGTGTGGGTGGAGGGGGACTCAAGATTCTAAAGCAAAGCAAATTTTACAATGCAGAATGGTTGAATCTAAATTTGGCGTATTGAGTA